CCGGCGGAGATCTTGACCTCGTTGGCGGCACTTGTGAGAGGGAAGCCGCCTTCCTCGCGTGGGCATGCCGTTGTATAGGCGGCGGACTGGCGCTTCGGCGGGGGCGGCGAGGGGGCGGGCGGCGGCGTCGGGGGCGGCGGCGTCGGGGGCGGCGGCGACGGGGGCGGTGAGGCTGGCGGCGGCGGAGGTGGAGGCGGAGGCGGAGGTGGAGGCGGAGGCGAGGCGGGCGGCGGAGGCGGAGGCGAGGCGGGCGGCGAGGGGGCCCGCCCCGCGCGGTCGAGCGCGGCGACGCGGATACAGGCGCGGCTGCGCAGGACGCGATCTCGGCTAGATCTCGGCCAGATTTTGGCCAGATCTCGGCGAGATCTCGGCTGGATCTCGGCCGGGTTTCGGCTGGGATCTCGGCCTGATCTCGGCTGGATTGCGGCTGGATCGCGGACGCAGGCGCAGCTGCGCGGGCAGCGCGCTCGCGAGCTAGCGGCTGCGGAGACGGAGGTGGCGGAGCTCGAGTGTGATTGCTGTGGGGTGTGAACGGCGTCTCTTCACAGCGGCGGCTGTGAACAGGTGGCGGAGCTCGAGCGTGGCTCCGCCGCCCTCGAGTTGCAGCTACACTTCCTCCGTGACCTGCTGCGTTGCGGCGAGATTTCTTTTTTTCGAAGGGCCTAGGCGGGGTGTTCCTGTTGTAGGCGACCAAGCGCAGCAGATCGCTTGCCGCGTCACCGCTGACGGCCGCGAGAGTGACGACAGCGACCGCCAGTACGAGCCCTTCCGAGGCTCGATGGCGCGCCACTCCTCTCGGCTCTCCACCGGCTCGTCCACCGCGGACTTGCCGGCGGCGGAGGCGTCGACCTGACCGCTCACACGCGCCGCGCACACAGTCGCCAGAGTGGCGTGTCTTGCTTTGGTGGTGGGGCGGCCGGGCCGGGGCGTGTCGGTTGTCGAGGAGGCGGTGCGGAGCTGGAGGCGAGGCGCCGTAGAGAGAGCGGAGAGGTTGTGTTTCGGGCGTTCGTGCCGCGGGTGGCGGAGTGGGCTGATTGAGAAAACATGTGCCGCCACAGAGCGCCCCCCAGCGGCAGCGACTCGCACACCTCTCTGTGGGCAGGTCGGTCTTGCTCTTGGGACGGGGGGGGCACGCGATGTCGCGATCGCGATCGCGGATCGGCCCCCGATTCTCGATGGACCGGACGATGCACTCGATCTGGCAGAGAGCTCCTTGGTTCGCACATCGCAGGCGCGGGCGACACACACACGCTATATACTCCTCTATCGTCTATCGAGGCCGCCGACGCCCACACGCGCGACAGGCTGCTGCGCGGGCGACCCCCGACCCCCTGTGACGGCAAACCCCGCACAAAGTGACCCTTTGTAGGTGTGGTTCCGAAACCAGGCTGGTTCCTGGTACCTGGTTGTTTCTTTTGAGAAACGTCGCCTATTTTTAATTTTTACCCACCCACGCCCGTACGCGCGTCAGACGCGCGTATCTTAGCTAAGGTACGCGGCCACGCGCGTCAACAGAATAGCCACCTCCACGCGGGGGGGCGCGCATCGGGCTCATCGGGCGGCCCGATACGTGTCATTCCGGAGGCTGGTACTCGCCGACCGTCCCCGCATACGCCACCGCCGCCTCCACCGCCGTGTCGAAACTGCCGATGTAGACCTGCCGTTCGTTCACCCTGTGCTCCGCCTGGAAGCGGCCCCCTCGCTCGTACACGCCCTTGTACCCGGTGTTGTTGCTGGAGAGGTGCAGCTCCGTGCCGGCGCGTATCTTAGCCAAGACGGGCGCGGCTACACGTGAAGACGCGTGTAGCCGTAGGACTTGGTCATCGACGTGAGTGTCAGTGCATCCTTGCGGGCGAGACAGAGGCGGAGGACGGTGGTGGCGGGTGGGAAGGCGCGGTCAAATTGCCGAGGCGATGCCGTTGTTCTCTCTGTCGCCGATTCTGAAACCAGACCTGCGGAGGCAGCGCGTGCGGCGGGAGGTGAGAGACTGGGCACGCCGTGCTGCGTGCCCCCCCCCCCCCCTCCGCCGACGCAGAGACAGTCCGAGTGCATGGCCCCGGCGGAGAGCGGCGGGGCAGGTGCGGCCGCCGCCTGGATCTGTCGCGCCGACACGTTGAGGTAGGCGGCGAGGCTCTTGCGCAAATGCGAGTCGGGACACGTTCGCATCGCGTAGACGGCCTCGAGCACGGCGCGCTGGTCGAGGGTCCTGCGGGGCACCACCGAGAAAGCGGTCAACTCAATGCGGGCCTCTGTGTCGCCCGTGCTTGGGCACCCCAAAAGCGGGCGAAGCGGGCGGCGACCCACAGCTGCAGCCGCCGCGTCGCCCCCTCGTCCTAGGTAAGGTAAGGTACGCTTCTCCACACACGCAAGGTGGTGGGGGGGGGGGGGGGGGGGGGGGGGGGGGGCCCCCCCCCTCCCCCTTTTTATGGCCCTCCCCCTTTCGGGGGCCCTTTATCTCTCTTTTTTTTGGGGGGAGCCCCTAAGGGTTAAACAATTTTTCCCTAAGGCTTTTTCCAAAA